AGCATCGTTCCTCGTTACTGGAGGGTAAAGGATTTCTTACTGTATATCAATTACCATTACCTCTACTAAGGAGGAACGATGCTTATTAGTTTTATGTTAATTATAGTTACCGTTAGTAACGGGGAACGATGGTAACGGTAACTGGTAACTGTCACAGCCCTAACTGAGATACAATGCATATTTTAATTAAGTATCTCAGTTGAGAAACCATTATTTCTGTGAAAATATTCGTTTCTCAACTGAGATACATTTGATAAAATATAGACTTCGCGAATTTTTCAACTGAGATACAATTTGGCACGAGGATTCAAACGTGCAATTATGCAAGAGTGCAGTGTACAAAGATCTATTATTCAATAGTTCTACAAAATCTTAGACGAATTACAGCAACTTTCACATCCTTTTGCATACTTAGACATTTTTCACAAAACTCGTGGTTGAGACATAAGCACTCAAGACGACGTGGAGAGGAATGAATAAGAATTGATTTTGTTGTTACGTGTTTTGCATGCATGCGATTACTTGATAATAATTTAATACATGGTAATATATGACCATGTAACGTGGGCATAATTTCTTAGATAGTCAGGAGAGATACATCATATACCTAATTTCATTTCAATCACTATTGAATAATAGATCTTTGTACACTGCACAATTGCACATTTGAACGCACGTGTCAAAATTGTATCTGAGTTGAGAATATAATTTGTATCTCAGTTGAGTCCAAACCGTTTAAAGTTTTTACTTTTTTAACATTTTTAGCTTTTTTGTAAATCATAATTTTCTCACAAAACGAATTCCAGCAGAAACAAATTTTCAAGCTATAATCGATGAACTAGTTTTTGCTGATGAAAGCTAGCTTTGAAAGACGATTTCTATGTTTTTTAAACTTTGAGTATGTACAGGCACATGCGAGAATTGATTTCGTATGTAGTCAACAAATCATTAATTAATTCTTCGCATTATTCAATATATTTCTACTTTGTTTAACACAGGTTCGCCAGTTTAAGCTACTTTGTATTTTTTTAAGAATTTAGTGAAGTAGCAGACATCTAAGGGATTGCTGCTTCTGATCTATATAAAAGATTCTCTTAGTTTATTAGAAAAACTTGTGTTGCTTGTTCATAGCTGATACATCACTATGATGCAAACGCAAAAGATATAAGAGAAATTACTAATAACATGAACTATGAATTCATCTTAGTGCATAACCCATGTCGACGAAATCGTCTAACTTTTGCCGATTAATCGCGATTTTAACTCAAAATCGTGATTAATCGGTAAAAGCTAGGCGATTTCGTCGACATGGGAAGTAGTCAATAGATTGGATTTCACTATTAAATATAGTGAATGTGTAGGAATGGTTTCCATTCAAGATGGTTACACTTTTTTACTTTGTATTGTTAGTAACTATATTCAACAACATGGACACTTAGATTTAACATTAACAGCCACTTTAGATCGGATATAACTCATTGATTCTTCACAAGTATAGACGTCGAAAAGTTCTGAGAGCCAACAGATCAATTTTCTTTGATTTATAAACTCGTACATCTTAAATTTTTGAGAAATTTGAACTTTTTCAACTACGCTAGTGTTGAAATTGTGAAACTACTGAAAAAATATGCATCGTTTATTCATTACAATATGATAATGCTTTAACTTTTTCTTGAGTGATGAAAATTACACGTATGAAAAACTTTGTATTGAACTTGGTTGCATCCGTTTTCGTACTAGAAAGGCGGAATACTAAAATTAGTCTAAGCCTAAGAAACACAATTCATTTGACATTCAAAGTCTATCCCTAGTGAATGTAGTCATACCATGAGTACGACTTACTCAAAACATTGTACTATACTACTCGACACTAAGTAAGTTATACTCATTGAGTATTTGATTACTCATATGAGTAATCAGGAAATACTCATTCACTTTTTCGTTTTGCAGAGATGTAGCTATATAAGATAAACAGATTTCCCTACAGCAACTCAACTTTTTTGCTAGTATTTCTGTCACAATCAGAGATGTGCTCACATATGATCGGATTCAGTGGTGAATTCTAGGTATCTGATGATATTTCTTTAAAAAAATGAAAAAGTGGTCAAAAACATTCAAGGATATTACGTAAAACCTCATTTGAATACTCATGAAATCCTCATATGAGTGTCTTATACTTGCACATGAGTACTTTTATAAAAATACTCAGTGAGTAAAAAATGCGCGAGTACTCATTGCATTTTTCTATATGAGTACGCCGTTCAATTCGTCAAAATAAAATGTCAGCTCGAGCTCCATGAATCCAAGCTGTTTTTACTCAGACTCCAAAAAAAGTGACGTTCCTAGCAAAAAGGCCAAAAAACGGATAACCTTTGGGCTAGACTAATCAAAGGAAATTTGTTTGAAAAACGTGGCATATCTATATGATTAAAGGATCACCACACTATTTTGTACAAAAGACAACATATATTTAGAGGTTTCTTGGCGTTTCTGATGCCAAAAGTTAACATTTTATCATGATTCAGTCCTCTGTCCTCACTGCACCTATCTCATGTTAGTCTCTGCGTTTAAGATCACTGAAAAAAAGCAGAGTTTAATACACGCAGCCAAACGTCTTTTGGTCTTTTATTCAGATAAATGAGGCCTTTCTGTCAATGTGGCCAAGTATTATCTAAATAACATAGTGCTAAATTCAAAATTCCATATCAAAATAGGGTAAGGCTCAGCCTAACAGAGCCAAATCCGGGTAAGGCTTAAGCCATACCCAGCCTAGTGGTTCCGTCGCCTCTGACTATTCTATTTTCAAGAATGAAAATGCCATATATTGTAAAAATAAAAATAAATTTTCTACGTTGCAAAATTAATTTTTGTCGAACTAGAGCAACGAAAATTGATTCCAATCTGTTTCAAATGATTATAACTGTGTAAAAATATGTTGAAATACAGTTTTTCCATCGATTTTAATTTCTATATTCATTTAGCGCCTTGTATTTTAATTGATAGTTACTAATACTTGAAGTTTGAATAACTAATCATATAGTACATCTATTCGCATATTTAATAAAAATCAATGATTTGTCCGTACTCAAAATTATGATGAAGAAGGGACAGGGACAACTGCCGACGAGTACTACAAAAAACAATATGAGTACAAGTAGAAATGGTGTTAAAAACAAACGCATATCGTATCCAGTACATCAGCGTATAATTTCATCCACACCGTTTCCACCAAGTCATCGATTATCGATTAAAGAAATATTTGGAAATTCAGATAAACGTGAGTGTTTATGAAATAATTAATGGTATTTATTGATATTTTTTACATTTTAGCCAGTCTACCAGTATTGTTACAACATTTGGAAGCCGAAGGAAGACTAGGTATTGAAATAGAAAGATAGTCGAATTTTAACTCTCAATTTTGTTCAGATTCTAGAATTGGATGCAGCATTAACAATTATAATACGCGGTCGTGAATTAACAGCACGAGAACCAAATTTGTTGAATATACCAACACCAGTTACAATTGTTGGTGATTTACACGGTCAGTTTTATGATATGCTTAAAATGTTCGAAAAAGGTGGTGATATTGCTACAACCAGATATTTATTTTTGGGTGATTATGTTGATCGGGGTCAATTTAGTGTAGAAGTCGTGTTATATTTATGGGCAATTAAAATTAATTATCCCGATACGTTCTATTTACTTCGGGGAAATCATGAATGTCGTAATTTAACCGTTTATTTTACGTTTAAAGATGAATGTCTACTAAAATTAGGAGAATTATTTTATGAAGAATGTATGACAACATTCGATCAATTACCAATTGCCGGTCTAATTAATGGACAATTGTTCTGTGTTCATGGTAATGCGCAAAATAAATTGTTTAGTCAATTCAGAATAAGAACAGAATTAATAACTCTTTTAAGGTTGTATTTCACCTGAAGTGAGATCGATCAGTGATATCAGAGATATCGATAGAATCGGGGAACCAGCAACAAAAGGAGCACTTTGTGATTTACTTTGGGCAGAGTAAGTTAGGTTAGAAGAATAACACAGTTTTTATATTAAAAAAAATTATTTTATTTGATTCTAGTCCAAGTGATTCATACGATAATGAAGAAAATGGAAACAGAATAGAAATGTATTCACATAATGTACCAAGGTAATTATTAACTAAATTGAGCGAATAAAACGGAAACTTATTGCTTTTCATCAGAAATCGATTCTTCTTTTCTTCTCAATATTTTTTCCATTCAAATCAGTCAGTGATTCGTCATCTTTAATCACACAGATTTGAAATAAAGTTAACTCTACTATTTAACAGTTGCAGATTGACGAACTGAAGTTATTTTTGTTATGTGTCATTTATTAATTTATAGTTAGTGAATAATTACTAACCTTTTTCTAATTTAGAATAATATTTATACAGTCTAAATAAACAACAACGTTGTTTCTAAAATCAAACTATTTTTATTTATCGAATAGACGTTCTATTCCCCTTATATTTTCTTGTTTATAAAGGTAGTATATAAAAATGGACTTTCATGTGACGGAGAGATCTTCAATAATTGGATTAGTGTATATTCACACGCTAATTACGTCCATGCTTGTGTGTATGTAGTATAGAGAGTGTAAAGCCAAGCAATTCAACTGATGAATAACTGACTTGAAAAAATGTTTCAGTATAGTATGACTTGATTTGAGTTAACTGGATTGAGAAAATTTTTATAGTAATATGACTTGATCTTTTGTAATTTGAATCATATAAAACTAGTGAAAATCGAGTCGGCTACTTTTTCAATTTATTAATGCGCTTCTTTGTCAAAAAAAAAAAATTGTTCAAATGTTGTTAACGATGCTAAAATGTGCATTCATTTTCCATGAAAACGTAGCAGTGTTCGTTTTTGTCGTTTCACATTGGTTTTTATAATGTTATTTTTGATAATTGTGTTATAAAAAATCTTATTAAATTTGAAAGAAAAGCACTCTAGGCGACAAAAAGTCAATTTATGTCACGATTTGAATATGACTTGGAAATCAAGAGTGACTTATCTTGACCAACTTGACGAATCCCTAACATCTCCAATTCTGAAAGAATATGGATGAAGAGTCATTAAACCTGTAATATTATTATAGTCGCTTTCTACGCATTTGTATAAAATATAAATGCTGTCGAAATATCACAAAAAATAGCTCGCATCTTGATAAGTATTTTAATTTTTTCTAATTGTCGTCTTACTCGATCAACTATTCGATTTCTGCGCAGCATAATTGATCTTCAGTTGTTATCACAATGACATTTCCGACATGTCTGTAAACTGTTACTCATTTCTATATTTAGAGGTTGTTCATTCACAGTCTCATATCGTGCAATATGTAAATTTTTGGACGAAAATGATGTATGACAACATTTTTTCTGTTTAAATTAATACTTGTACACTATATTTTTTAATTTTATAGCTCTTGTGTGTTATCAGAGCTCATCAAGTACAATCAGCTGGTTGTAAAATGTACAAAAAACATGGTACACATTGCTTTCCAAAAAATTGAAATTTTAAAGAAATATATAAAAAATTTTCCATTCTTAGGCAAAACGTTGTTTCCCACTTTGGTAACAATATTTTCAGCACCCAATTATTGCGAAGCTTATAAAAATCGAGGAGCTATTCTCAGGTATGATGGCAATGTTATGCATGTATATCAATACAAATGGTAAGAGAAAAGAAAACTCATTTTATATGACACTATCAATGCATTTTGTTCTTGATTTGTAGGGTAAAACATCCATATGTTTTACCAAATTTTTTGGATGCATTTCGATGGTATGTACTATTATTCAATGGCTATGAGTTTCTGACTTGTAATATTTTATCTTTTCATCTAGGTCGTTACCATTTGTTTTAGGTAAAATTTTTCTTCAAATCATAGCTCTAAAAAATATTTAAGATTTTTCTATTTAGAAAAAGTCACAGACATGCTACTAGCAATTATTCGCTATTGTTCTGATGATAATGATCCGAAATCAAACAGGCGACAGCATGTTATTGAAAAAATAATGAACTATTATTCGACATTAAAAAATGATGCTGAAACATCTCTCGTTCTTGGTGGAATAAGGTATATAATCGAGTTTAATATTCTATAATACAATCATAATAATTATACCATTCTAAGATATAAAATAAATTTTTTTACTTATAAGAAGCAGATATTTTCGATCAAAATTCAAATTTTCTATCCATTTATTTAGACCACGACAGGGTAGTATTGATTCAAGAATGGTGGGCACAGTACTAGATTTTCAATTGGCTAGACAACTTGATTTAGCTAATGAAAGTTTACCTCCAACGCAATCTACGAAGAAGAGATGAAAATACATATATACATACATAATATACATAAATGTACTATATATACAGAATTTTGTGTAATTATCGTGGTGTAAAACTGATGCGTTTAATACTCTTTTTATCTATAATATATAAATAAAACAACTGCTGTTTCTGTGATGTGCAATATTTCTCGAGAGAAAATAACCTTATCATCAAGACACTACCCCTTCCCTTCCAAAATAGAATATATTCCATGGACTTCTTAATAACATGTGATAGAAAAATGATAGAAATCCACTATTTTTGCCAACAGATAGATGAGATCGCCGAAAATGTTTTGATGAAAAATTTAAAAACCTTTTTATAGATAGGGTTACTGGAAAACAAGATTGAACTCTAGATGTTTAAATAAAAACATATCGGTTTTTACATATGGATGGACAGCTCCAAAAGGCTCTCTTAAGTGACAGTTAAACAACATTTTCATTATCAATGGTTTATGACATTAGATTTTCTGAAAGCATAGGACTAGTAATATTAAAGACGAATGAAGCACAGGTGATTGATCACGCTGCGACTCTCTGAGAAATGTTTGTTTGTATTTTTGTAGTGGATTTTTATTTAAATATCTGTCGGCTAATCTCGTTTTCCAATAGCCCTATCTATAAAAAGATTTTTAAATTTCTCATCAAAACATTTTCATCGATCTCATCTATCTGTTGGCAAAAACAGTGAATCTCTATCTTTTCTTTCTATCAAATACTATTCAGAAAACAACGGAGTATACTCTATTTTGAAATGAACAATAACTCTCATACGTCGATGCAATATGGTGAACAAAAGAGTTTCGCTCATCAATGATACCACTATGAATAATGAAAAGAATAAATTTTCATTAGAAATTTTTGTTTTTGTTTGTTTAAAAAGAAAATCGAATGTACATATTACACAGTAACTGTAAAGACCTTTACATAGACCAAAAAAACGTTTGATAAAGACAAAATGCACATGCACATTATGAAAACTGCACAATTTAGTAATGCTATTCAATAGAAGACACGGAGGACAAAAACATAAGTGTTTAGAAATCACAACGTTTAAACGATACAAGCAAAGAAAAACAACAAAGAAACATGTTTATAAAAAAATAATAACTAACCAATTAACCATTGAAAGTAATTCATTTCTAATAATTTATTGGTAGAAAATAAAGATAAAAATAACGACGATAGATGAACAAATATTTTATGGTTTTACACGTGTATGTTTAGTAGAAATTGTTAATGATGGTAAATGTGAACGTTGTTCATTTAAACGTCTCGATTGAACACGATCGAGTAGAGAAAAAAAATCATCATCAGGTAATGTAGTAGATGATAATGTTTTACCAGTTATTGTCGTTGTTGATGTAGATGATAATGGACTAGTTGAAAAACGACGAGTTGAATCCACTGGTAGAGTGGCACGTTGATCATCAAAACGTGAATCCTTCAAATAAAAACGAGAATAATATCATCTATCATTTTTTTCAAACAACTTTATTATTATAATTACCTGACATTTAATTAATATATCAAAAAACTGATCATCCGGTCCATTTTCTTGTTCATGTTTATAACTATTACTTGTCATATTCATAATTGTTTGTCCATGTTTATTTTCAATATCATGATCGTTTCGATTATTAATAGGCAATGTTGTTCGTTGATCATCTAAACGAGATTGTTGTAGACGATCCACAGTATTGAGAATCTCTTCTAATTGTGCACTTGGTCCTAAAAAGAATATATCATTGAATTTATTAGAAAAAAAAACCTAAAAATAATTCAATTATACTATGTTCACGTGTATCTAATTCAGATTCATTATTCTTAAAATGACAACGTTGATCTTCAAAACGTGTCTTTTGCATTCGACAAACAAGGTCAACCAATTCATCATGTCTAGCTGGTAATGACTATATCAAAAAAATAAATAAAATTTAATTATTTATCCTAATGAAAATAGATCAATTTAAGATATAATATATATACCTCTTTTCTGGATAAAATTGGTGATTTTTTTGAAAAATTTGTTGTTTTTAAACTAGCTGAATATTTTTGTATTGGCATTTTTTTTTCATCTAACAAATGTGTACCAGCAAATGATCTAAGATCATGATGATTATGATTGTTCTGATAAAAAGAATGTTGTTCATCATTTTCATTTGGATTATCTGCCATGACAATACTTATCGAATCCGTACGCAAATTCTAAAAAACAAAAATAATAGATTGATAGAAAATAAGAAATAATAACTCATTTCTTTTTTATATTTATTTGTTTGTTTACTTTAACGGGAGTATTTTCTGATGTTTGCATAGTCGATGCATTCAAGTGTAATCGTTTACCCATCGACACTAATAAATGAATTAAACAAATGATAATAATTACTTATTATAACGCTCGAGAAATCAAACATACTATTTTGTAATGGAATTTGATCTTTGGATCCCGTTGAATAACGATGCCATTCTTCATCATTTATCGAACAAATTGCAGTTTCACCAATCTTCAATAAAAAAACAAAAACAAAAACAAAAATAAACAATTGAAAAATTAATTATTTATTGTTTAGAATTGAAGAAAAAAATACATATATATATATATATATAAGAAAAGCAAACCTCTTTTGCTAATGCTCGATGTAAACTTTCATATTTATTTGCTTTCTCATTTTGTTCAATTTTTTTATATAATTGACTTAAAATTAAGTAAGCTCTACATTGTCCAACTGAATCATTTAATTGACAAGCTAAATTTAAATGTTTTTCATGAAAATAAATTGATGTATCATAATCTTGTTTTAATGCATAAATACGTCCAATTGTAAAATAGGTACGAGCTATAAATGTTGTATCATTCATTAGTTCACCATTAGTTAATGCTTCTCTATAAATAATACATAGATCTTTTAAACAAACAAGAAGAAAAAAAAAATATTTATTCAATATAAACCTATAATGATGTAAAGCTTTATCACAATTATCCAAATATAAATAAGCATTTCCTAAATTTCCATGTGCTCGTCGTTGACCGGGTACATCATGACATTCTTTGGCAATTATTAAACGCTAAAAAATAAATTATTAATTATATTTTTCACATTTTATTTAAAAAAAATGAATTTAAACTTTACTTTTTCAAGATAATCAATGGACGTTGTGTAATCCTGTAGTAAATAATTAACATTTCCGATATTCCCCTAATTATGAAAGGAAACATTTTTCTTTTCTTTCTTTTTTTTCTATTAAGAATATACACATAATCTTTTCTTTCTACATACCAATGTGCGTCCTTCCGCCACTTTGTCGTTTAATTCTTTAATAAGATCTAAATTTTGTCTAAATAAAAAGCGTATAACAATAATAATAATAATAATAATAACTAATAAACAGATATCATGTGAATTATTTCTTTCTCTTCTCTTTTATCAATAGAAAAACGATTATTGTTAAGGCAATGAAAACACATACATATACACTCATGATTAATCACATCTGTTCTACAAGTTGTGACTTCTATTAACACATAATAGTGTGACACTGTCTCTCCATTATATATATATATCTTTAGGGTAATATGTTTCAAGTAGAATGTATATATCATCTGAGAATAGGGAACAACAATTTTGTTTAAAATACTTGTATATCCAATTAGAACCATTATAATTAAAAGAAATATTTTTCACAAATAAAGATAAATATATATCCTTCATTTAAGATATATATATTAGAAATATTTTATTCACTTGTCCATTCAATTAAACTCACTTTTAAAATTATAATCTAAATGAAATGTTCAAATTGTAACTGACTAACACTATGAATCAGTGTATATATGTGTATAAAATCACGTATTTTTATTAAAATAAAACGGGCAGAATTTTGTATTTAAAAAAAGAAAAATAATAATAATAATAATAATAATAAAGTGAATATTAAAACAAAAAAAGAATCTCTAATTTAGTTATTAACAAAAATAGTATTTTAATAAAAAATGACAGAAATGGATAAATCTGACACTCTTGTTGTATATTATGATTGTTATGATCAAATCTTACCATCAAACTAGATGATTTTAGTGATGAAAATATTTTGTCATTTTAATTTTTGAACACAGGAAACATCATAGAGAACAATTTACCTTTTTTGAAGATAATGATGATGAATAAAGTAGAACATCAACTATTTCATATAGGAAAAAAAGATGTGTCATTGTATGTTTTTTTTTTTTTTTTTTTTTGAAAACAAAGTTCTTTTATTTTATCTTTCTTTTCTCTATATGTTAGAAATAGTTAGAAAAAAAAAAAAGAAAAAAGATTATTATTTATATGTCTTTATTTTCTTCTAAGTGTTTTTGATTGCTTTGTTAGATCTTTCTCTCTCATCTATATTTTTTTGTTGCTACTTTAAGAAGACCTTATTTCCTTCATTCATTTGTTTTTCCTATGAACATAGATCTATATATGTCATCTATTTCTTCGAATCATTAACGAATATATCTTCGTCAATAAAACAATCATCACAAAACAACAAGAAGAACAACGGGGAAAAGAAAAGAACATTCCTATTTTCTCTTTTTTTTTAGTATGTCTTATGTTCTGTTGCATTTCTATTAACATCTTCAAGAAAAAGAAAAAAAAAAAAGAGAGAAATACATATACAAGAAAACAATCATTTACGATGGAATCTCGTTTAATATATATATATTATACATTTCAACAGATGGTTAATTGAAGAATAACTTAATCAAAGAGAGTTTCTAAAGGTGAAAATTAAGACGATTATTGTTTGAATGGCCAATTTGTAACAACGGTTGTCGAAACATATTTTCATATAAACGGAAGAAAACAAAAAATATATCGAGATAAAAAAAAAATGTATTGACACTTTATTATGTATCGTTGGAATAAGAATGAGAAAATACGGTTTTATCTAATAAATATTGAGTATTACCTAGATTTTTGGAATTTTTTTTTTTTTTTTTTTTTTATTTTTAAAAAAAAATAAAAATTTATTTTAAATTGAAAAAAAAAATAAAAAAATAAAACAAATTTTTTGGAAATTTTTTTAATAAAAAAAAAATATTTTTTAAACATTTTTTTTTATTGTTTGCCTAATAATTATTAAATTCCGTTTTTTTAAATAAATATTTTTTTTTAACTTTTTTTTTTGTTTTTTTTTTTTTTTTTTTTTTTTATATTTCAATCTAAATATCAATTTATAGTAAATGGAAAAAAAACATAATAAAATAAAAGACATATGTTGTCAATTATTTTAATAAAAAGAAAATATATATTAAGATTATCTTTCTTATAATCTTTCTATCCAGTTTATTTTCTAATTCCTTCCTATTTAAGAAGAATAAATGGATATGGATGGATTTCAATTTTTATAAATATGAAACATGTTTAATCCGTTTTAAAATTAATTTCATCATTTATTTAAGTCAACTTAAGTCTACTTTTTTTATTCATCAAACGTTTTCCAAAAGCTGGCGTTAAATTGATTCTATGGTAGGTTTTAACCCTCTAGAATTTTTTCATCATCATCCTCATATATATAAGATAAAATAAAAAATAAAAAAAAGGAAAAATCATATTTTTACTTGCATTTCTAAATGACACTAGAGAAATGTTATTGTCATCGTGTTTTCTACTTTCTTTTTATTTTTTTATACAAATAGATGACAAAAACTATTTTCAAACACAAGACATATTTAAAAAGAGAGCGAAAAGAAAAAAGACGAGAAGCAGATTAGATCTAGATGTATGTCTTTAATTATTAGAGGAGACATATTCTTCTTAACACTCTAAGATATAATCGTTTGAACACACACACACACGCACACATATGAACATTGCAAGAGAGATCAGGTCTTTTCTATAGTATATATATATATATATAAATATATGGAGAAAGAGAGAAAGAGAGAGTAAATCATCGATCGACTATTAAAGGATGCCAATTTATTTATCTTTATATGGTGCATGAGTACCATTCAATAAATACACTTAAGAAAGAAAAACCACATGAAAAACATTCATCAAAATTGTTGTCAGTTAATAAAAATTAGTTATTATAAATATAAATATATTAAAATTATCAATTTAGGTCATTTTGTCATAAAATCAATAAAAGTCAAAAAGTTCACTTGAACAACATGTTAATATTTTGAAACAGTAAATTATAAAATAAATTTTGTTTAGTATTTGACACCTATGACTATAGATAGATAGATATATCTATTCATTTTATTTTTTGAATTAGAACGATTGCATAGGTGAAATATATCTAAACTGTTTTTTTGTGTTCTCTCTCTCTCTCTCTCTCTTTTGAGGGAAAATGCATGAGTTCCATTCGTTTCTATTGTTGAAATGCAATTAAGTAAAATAGAACTTTTCCTTTCTATTATTACTAACAACAAAATTAGAAGTAATTCGAACATGCGACAAAATACCATAATTTTCAAAATGTTTGGGTCATATTCTTCTTTAAACTTTTAGATATAATTCTGGAAAAAAAGAGACATTAAATAGAGTAGTGTATAGGATATTTCATTTTTAGATTAATTTAGTGGTAGATAATAAATGTAATTATTATTCTAAATGCAATATCACATTTTTTACTAGTCTTCATTTTTGTCTTATAAACCATAATTATTATTATTATTATCTTTTATTCAAAATATTTATTTTTATTTTTATTTAACTGAGTATATGAAATTCTCTTAAATAACGATAAAAATGATAATAATGGCAAATGGACCATTGAACTTGTCTTCTTAAACTCTTTTTTTATTTTGTTTTTCTACATAAATGTTTTATTTATAAAACAATAACACTTACAAAAATGTTTTGCGTTTCATATTCAAGGATAAATTTTGTGTAATAAAACTTTTTCGCATACTTTTTTTGTTTTATTTATATCAGAATAGATTTAACTTCAGAATGATATATAAACAGAACATTTTACTCTCT